AAATGAAAAAAAAAACAATTTTATAAAATTTTATTTATTTGAAAATCATATAATTAAATGTTAGTGTAGGTAATAAAAATTGTTTTTTGTCTTACTACTAACTATAAAATAATATAATAATTATGCTTAGGTTTAAGATGTTATTGTAATTGCATGTTATTAAATTTGTCATTTATTGCTTGGTAAGCCTTACAGTTTAGTTTTCAATAGACGGCTGACGAAGGCATAAGTTTTGACCAGTTCAAATAGATAACTTTAAAAAACCGTTTGCTTTGCTTTCAATGTCATTTATACTTAAACTTTTATCATTACTATTCTCATCTTAGATATTTTATAACCATTAAATAATAATATTGATTAAACGACAAAATCATATTTAAAATTGAAAATCAAACCGGGACAACCCCCTGAAAGCAAATGATAGCTAGTATAATTTAATTTCATGACAACGGAAAAAAATGAAAAATTTCTTTATGCATATTTTTAAACCAAAACTATTTCTATTTTTAASTGCATTAGCMATAAATGTATGCATTTTTTTACTGCTTTTTACGAGGATTAAGTTCAGAAACATAATAATAGGTAAGAAATATTAAACTATATACCATATAATTATAATATTAATATAYTGTAAATGGCTCATATACGATATACCTAGTCATAGATTTAAAAACCCGATCCTAAAAGTATCTTTAAAAATTAATTCTCAAGTAAGATATTGGAACTGTCTGTACAATGTACAAATGTCTTACTCCCCAACTAAAGTTTATATAAATAATAGTAATTCAACTAACGGATATAAATTGAAAAAATAATAAAACATCAATAATAATAATAAAAGTACGAGTTGTCGTAGGTACACCATCTAACGGTTAGATATGATTCTAACCAATAACTGATATGACGATATATTTATTTTGTTTGACATGTCGAGCGTGTATATTATATCACCTTGACACCTTGTCTTTTATGCTTGAAATATTATTTTATTGATSCAGTCTGTGAACTTTGATAACCGCAAGAACTCCAACTTTTCAGTATTGTGAAAGCACGTCACCTCACTTATTTCAACTCAAGGTCACTACTCAACTATTGAACTTTTTATGTCTACCTTTAAGTTTCCTAAATTTCTAATATTATAAACTGTTGTGCCTTGTGCGTCATACTTTGCTACGTACGCCTGACGTTTATCCATATGTCATAAAAGATTATACCTAACTATTAGTTTTATTCCTTACATTTTTTACAAATTATTTCATCTTAACACATAAGTTTGAGATTCTGAGTGGAGCCATGCATGTAGTATTGGCTTTACATTTACAATGGTGGATATTTTTGTTGTTTAATTTTTTTTTTTTTTTGTTTTTCTCATCAACATTTGAAACATTAAAAGAGTTTAATTTTTCATTCTGAAGGTGCTTCCTGGTAAAAAATTGTTTCCAGTCAATTCTTGGGACAACTGAAGAAACATCTCTATAATAAATTATGGAGAAATCATTTTCTCAGAAATGTACATTCACGAAAAAATCATAAAAATTTGCAAATTATATTTATAAATTTAAAAAACTACCTTATGCTTCAACATTTGAAATAAAGTTTCTCAAAAGCTTCCGAATATAGAACGAAACAGAACGGAGTTTTGGTGATGATATAGTATAATAGCCCATGGCCATCTCAAGAGTTCGAGTGTTTTGTATTTGACCAGTGACCACCATTGTYGCCACCATGTAGACCCTAATAATTAGTTACCTATAAGCTTATAGCTAACATTTTTAGTAATATTTTAATAAATATTTACTTAATTTTATAATAAGATCATAACGATCATAGACTAATTAATAATTTATTATCTACAAGAATGCGCAACGACCCCAAACGATGAACAAATTACTAATATATACCTAACCAAGTTAAGTTAATCTTGTAAATGTTTAAAAGTTTTTTACAATAATTATATTATATTATAAATCAACTTAATTATAAAAAAATTAGAAACGCTTTGAGGGAAGATTGATTTGAGATTGAGAGGCTTAGATACTCACACAACCGCGTCTAGCATAACCACACTATTATTGGACCAGTTTCAGTCATCCATCACTCTTTGTAATATTATAAAATATAGAATGTGTAAAAAATAATAATGTATACGATAAATAATTTCCATATGACAATTTATCATAAATAATAAATTACAAAATATAAGACAATATTAATGTAAACCTTATAACTTATAAATACAGCTATTTGGGATGTAATTTTCATATACGCCATGCGTAGTGGTCATTGGAACCATTGGGGTTTCTCGCGTATTTAGGTGATGAACCCGTAATCTGTATGACTGTATTGCTTTAATTTTCTGACTCGGGTATTTCACGGATGTGATCATACATAAATCTATGTATTTCACTTCCAACGAATCCAGAATCCAACCTAACCAAGAGGAGGGGAACCAATRGGTCTGACATAGAATCAGTATGTACATCATGAATAAATATTAATTTTTTGAGTGATGAGCAGATGGAAAAAGTAGCTAGGGCTTTGGAGTCAAATCATTTGTTCGGGTTTTAGGTTTAGGGTTCTGGGTGTGTTCAAATATTAAAAGTTCAAATTCCGGGATAAAAAAAATTGAACATACGTTTAGGTGTTAATAACTGTTATAAAATTTGAGTTAATATTGAACACGCTTGTTCAGACMCGCACTAGTACAAATTAAATAATTTAATATCTAGCAAATCGGTTTAATTAGAACAGAATAATAAAATTGAATTTTATTTTCTTGTTACCTACCTAATAGAAAATGTTAAAAGTATTTATAAATTATGATAAAATAAAAATAACCTAATATTATTATTATTAAACAAACAACTAACCATAAAATTGAACTAACTGCATAAAATACTCAAAAAAATAATATATCACTTGAAGATCATACAATAAAAAATTATTCGGGTTTCGGGTTTACCAKAATATAAAAACCAAAAAGTTTTGGTTAATTCGGGACTCGGGTGCGAAACCCTGCAAAAAAGTTGTTACTCCTGAGGTATTATTTACCAATTTGTATATTTGGGGTRATTGCAAATATTAGCTGTATATTTGAATTGTATAATAAATCATATCGATACCACTTGGATCTAWATAATAATCACTATAAAAAAGGATTTTGAAAAATTCAGATGAWAAATGTGAAATAAAATAATAAAAAACTATAATTAAATGAAAATATTTTTCAATTTATGAAAGATTTTCTAATATTAGTCCTAAGGTGGACTCAATATAACGGAAGTTAGAAAAATCATTGTCATCTTAAAAGCTCTACGTTTATATTTGCCAAATTTTATAATTTCATAGCATTGACAACTTATTTTGGCTATAGTTTAAAAACAGCAGCAACTGTGTCATTAAAATGTCTTTAAAAGATTATGGTTGACAGAAAAATAATTATTATTTGAAATAGTAACAAAACTACCATTTTTAAAAACGATTATTAATCATTAATAATACATATATTGTTTTTTTCTAGTTTCCCCAATTTTTTTCAGTCGTGAAATATATCGAAAATGTTTTCATATTTATTTAATATTGTTATTATATTCCAGTCATAAAATTATAATAATTATAAATTGACATTGTTTCCATCAAACTCTTTTATTTAATAATTAATGTTAATGAGTTATTGACTATTGGCTTATTTCTGCAAATATTTAGCGATGGTATAATATAATTACAATTATGATTATTATAAAAATATAATAGARTCAATAGGGATATTKTTTCATTTTATAGGTACATAAATCATTAAATGTAGAGAATGTTTTATATGTTCTTATGTTTGGGTGTTTGAAAATTTAAACAGAAACTTAAACCAATAAAATTCTATCACACTTGCCTCCATAAGATGATAAATAATATTATATTAAATTAATTACTTGCATAATTAAAAATATTTTAAAATTGTAACTAGATCTTACTGGCAGAGGAAAAACTATATTGAAAAAATTCCCCTCTATTAGTATAACTTTTCATCAAATTGTAACCAAGGTTGTGTTGCAAAAATGATTAATGATTAAAATATAAAACAAATATTATTTTAAAAATTTATTCTGGTTATCCCAAACATCAATTCCATAAATAAATAAATACAAACATATGACAAAAAATATATATAATTCGCATCCTTAAAAATACTGCTAACAATTGAATAATAAATATATAATATTTTAAAATATATCTAAAATAACAATAAATTATTAAATAGTGTCATACAAACAACCAGCACTAAGTATTATGATAAAGTTTTAATAATTTCAATCTAACATATTTATAAAGAATATTTTGAACAATAATTAAAAATAGTTAAATGGCCATTAAAAATTTTGGTAAATTTCATCTTATATCAATTATAATAACAAAGTGTTTTTTTTCCATTGTCAAACATTTTCTAAACTAACATAATATTATTTAAAAATATTTGACTAAATCTTAGAAAAATTWGTAATTCATAATGTTACACTATAACCCTGATAAGATTTACAAAGTTAGTTATATTTTAAATGGATAACAAAACAAAAATGATAACATAATGTCACAATTGGTATTACAAAAGACAAAAATGTTCACTGACGACAATGAGTGCACAATGGTCAATATTATAAAATTATAAAATTATTGTTAGTAACAAGGGACGGTAATTCTTATATATAAAATAGCACACATAAAAATCACAACATTAGGTTACACTTAAATAATAGTAATACAAAAATTGTTTCTCAAAAACGCAACAAATTCTRKTGCTGTTTTTTTTTTCAAGCATACCCTCCCAACAAATTTACTTTAAAAGATTACAACAAAAACAATGAAAAACTTTGTTGCAATGTGTTTTATTTATGTTTCTATTAAAATGGCATAAAAATATATAAGAATAAATTAATAAAACTACAAGTGTCTTAAAATTGTTCTACAAAAAATAACTATCCGATAACAAGTTGAGAACAAAAAAATATATCAGCTGTTACACATCTCTAATATGTATACTGTATACATAAATATTAATTTGTCTAATAAAATAACATGGGAACCATAAAATGATAATCAAATAAGAAATCAAGAGGATAGAAAAATAACATAATAACTGTGACACATATAAAATGGCTACATTATTTTCACTTTTGACACTGTAAATTCCAAAAATAACACAATACAGTTTAAAAAATATCACGAATTCGGTAATTAGTATAAAACTTTAAATCATGTTAATTAAACAAGAAATGTTAACAATACTACTATTTATAACGGTTGAAAAAATATATTATATAAGCTTTCCACTATTAATAATGCAGTTGTACGGTACCATCACCTAGTCTGCGAGCCTAAGAGTAATCTCATTTGGGATTAAAAAAAAATTAATTATTTGTCTTGTCACCATTATTTGGTAGTATAATAATACTATATTCTGCGCTTGTAACAAATGTAAGGTGTTTGTAGGATTTTTGGTGACGTTTCCATGACGCGCAGCAATAACTTATCCAAGTACTCCTCTAAGTCGGTTCTCTGTTTGGTCTCATCACGCAAACTGTTTTGCAACTGAAGGACCATTTCGATTAAGTCCTGAAAACATATAATTTTTATTACAACTAGTGCAAATTATCGGGACATGAAGTTTTTATTTAAAGATGTCCATAGATGTAAACATGAAGGCTTAGGACTTTCTGGATCATCTCAAGTCTCTTAATGAAGACTCCACACCAGCATGTATATTGTGTAGTCTTCATCTTATAAACGTGTAACATTGCAAACTGTACATTCTGAATATTTTATCTAACTCTTATGATTAATATTGGAACGAATCAACCTATTATCAAATTTAAAAGCAAGAATATTATTTAGTCAAGTTCATACCAATTTTTTATATTGTTGAGTGTTTTAAAAATTTTAATTATTGTTTGTGCATTTTATAATATCTATAACTTATTTTGTATTAAAATACAAAAAATTACCCAACAAGGTTTACTATATAATATTCTTACTTCTAACTGATAATAGGTCAATTTGCTCCAATATTAATCGTGACTGAGACTAAGAGTCATATTATGATTGTTTTTGGCTAATTCATAGACTAGCCTTTTGTATACCAAGAGAGGTCAAAGACAGAAAACGCTTCTGTTTTATGACTCCCAATTGCATGATAATAATACTGTGCACAATTAAAATTAGTAGACAAAAAGTAATGTAATAATATTATGCTATTTAATATTCTCTATGTCTTAGTCTTTATTTAGTAGAATTTTTTATAATATAATGATATGTATTATTATGATTAAAATTATAAATTTATAAATCWTTTTTATGCATTCACATAATGATAATGATGAGCTATAAATACTTTGATTCTGGGATTGGATTTATAAAAAATTTCAATATATCATTGCACAAGTAGGCCGTAGATGACTATTTATTAAAGTTTATTATTTTAACTGTTAATGGTGTAGTAAAAAAAGTTTGGTTAAATAGTTGTTTAATAAAAAAAATATATAAGAATAAGTAAAATATATAAAAATAAGTATGAAACTATAAATATTGACTTGATATGATATGAAAATGACCCCCTTCAAAATTGCCCATAGACTAATATTATCTATTGACCATTTTACTCTAATGACGGGAAAGCCTGTACACGTCTTTAATTAATGTGTATCTCATATACAAACTAACAAATTATGAATGTAAATATTTATGGTAATTTTTTTWAAAATTATTGTTATATTCAATATACGCACGTCTCTGGTTTTGCCATCAAACTTTTGAAGCACTTCTGACGAGTGTTTCGAATGTGAATTTTGATGATGACTGGAATCTTTTTCCTTTCCAATAATGATACGCTCATATGCTTTGTTCCATGAAGATAATGCTGATTTGCTTTCTAAAAGAATGTCATGAAATTGAACTATTAATACATACAGTATAAAATTTATGAGGTGAAACTATTTCCAATGGTTTACAAAAAAACATTTTGAAGACTTGCACATGCATTATAGTTTATTTATCACTATCAGGGMTAGTAAGCTTATGCATTTGCATATCAATCTTATTAAGTCGTATTTAAAGATAGATGATATAGAAATTCATTTAAAGGTACCATAGTAAACTATGAGAAGTTTTATTTTGCATATTTACAGGACCTTTATCAATTTGGCATATTTAGACTATTTTTGGCTAAAATTTAAAGAAAAATGCAATTATTTATGCAACGTAAAAAATATATAAGAATTGTCGCAACTTAGAATTTATTATTAAAAATAAAAAGCTAATAGTCAGTGTTACATATCTGCATTAAGCAATCAGTGAAAATATATTATATGAAATAGTTTTATCTGTATATTTTTAATGCATATAAATGCATATTTTTTCRGTTTTTAGTGCATAAATTTGCATAATTTATCTAAATATTTTTTTGGTGTGAACTCTCGAGACATGATTATTATTCATTATATTATCAAAAAACATAAAGYTCAAGTTGATAGAGATTGAGCAACAGCTCAAGATTAGGTACTTTATTTTATAATTTTTTACTTTTTTGCTTTACTATAAAAAGTTCAAACAATAAAAATTTAAAATTACCTTAAAAGACTATTTTTTCAAGAAATTTAATTCAAATATTATTTTCTTAAGTTATATTTTTGCTTTACTTTATTTATAATATACATTAAATCAGTCTAAAAATAATACATGATAAAGTATTTATGATATAATATTATTCATCTAAGCCCAAGTTGTCTATACTATTGGATGAATGCAACACTCTGTTAATATTAGAYAAAATGTTTTTACACTACACTCATACTTGATAATTTGAATCATATAAAAAAAAGTAGTGAGTAATAGATTGTTTAACAGATATATATATATAGTGATATCAAGTGTGCATCAAAAGAGAGAGCAAAAGGAGCATTTGCTGCAGGCAGCAAAAAAAGTGATAATATTGTTTATAATTTAATTCATATAAAATATTTAGTTAAATAAATATTAATTATTTTAGTTATYKAATTTATGGTGTCGCTCTTCAGATCTAAAAACATAATGAAATMTAATATTAAGACTTTTAATTATTAGGTAGTTATTGAGAAAGAAAACTCTCATGGTTTTCTGGACCTTGTTTTTGTAATACCTACATACTATTTTTAATATTATCACTACATATTATATTGGCATAATATAGCCCCAATGTTTTCCGCACACAATGTACAACAATTACTATTTAGTATGTATCACTACTGCTCTGAAGTTTATTGTTCGATTATATTTATTWTTTCTAACTTTTTTTTATCGTTTTAATAATATTATAATCTTGATATCATCTTGTGGCATGATGTAGTGACTAGTATTGTACTGTTGTGTTTATGTAGTAGTGTATTTTGCTGTGGTGTTTACATACTGTACTATATTATTATTATAATTATTGCAGTATTATGAATCATTAAAAGTATGTAAGAAAAACATAATAAAATTTTAATTTAAAAACATGATGAATATACTAATGTGTTTTAATTTCTTAATTTATTGTAAGAATCTATACATTTTATATAAGATATAAATATAAGATTATATACGATTTATATAAGAAACAACTGAGGTTTTGAACTTATCATTTTTTTAGGATAATGGTATGTCTTACTAATGTAAATATAGTATATTTTTTATTTGTTAATCATTTCTATAATTTAAAGCTATGAAATATACCATTAATCATGAGTTTGAAATAATATTAATAAAGTTCCTACATAATAACATGTATAAATTGTATCTATTTTATGCATTTATATGTATCATGAATGATATTATGTCTAGCGACTAGCAAGACTAGTTAAGCACATTGTACTCATTTTGTAGGAAAAAAAATATAATATCATGTAATGGGTAAGTAATTTACTATATTGAGTCATTKTATTCAATTGAGCTACAGTTTAAATTAATTCATAAACAAAAATAATACTAAATAGTAAATACCAATATCTTATTTTTGAAAATTAATTTTTGTAATTTAAAATATTTAGTAAGAATAACCAAACGTTTTTTTTCAAAAATAGTGAGTATATAGTATTAAATTAATTATTATTATTATTCATTATTTTTAGGTTGCCATGGAAATTGTATTATGTGGAAAATAAAATATTTAAATATTTATAAAATGAAGGAAACAATACATTTTATAAAAATAAAACAACTGAACAGTTCAACTGCAACCTAGATGGCTATGAAAATTATTACCTATCAGATTCATTTTTGGAATTATACAACAACTAATGATACATGTCATGGGCCATGGCATCATAAAATCTATTTCTTATATATGTTTTATTATCTTATATTCTTATGTTCACAATAATTCGACTAATATAAATAATTAATATTAATATGAGTATTTTCCAAATTGGAAATACATGACTGATTATACTATATTTCAAAGAGTTCATGTCARTCTCTAAATCATATACCAGTTCATCTTTAATTTTATTTACTTTTTTCATTGATACTGGTAAGTATTATTCTGGGTGTGAAGGATATTTATTAGAATTAGGATAACATTACTGACAGTGATTCTAAAAATAATTCCTAATTTGATTAAATTAATTTTTATTCATTGAATATAAAAATTGTAACAAGTGGTTTGCTAGTTTACAGAGTGAGCTAAACTGTTTTTATTTTATATTTATTTATTATAATACATTATGTACATGTTTATTTTTTTCAAACCTTGTATATTTTAGTTGTTATGATGATTAAATAAATAATATATGAAATATTAAAAATGCTTTTCAAGGGCACCTGAAAAATATTGTCAAAGTACTTCTCCATAGTAAATCCCCTTCATGCACTAAGCATGATTAAARAGATAATATTGGACTAACAAACTTATTGTCATCTTCATCATTATTATGATCATGATAAAAAAATTCTATAAARCTCATAGTTCACCATGGAATATTTATGTACAATTGTATTATATTGATATTGGCAATCACAATTCAAAAAATATGTTTGTAATATTGAGAGTCCATTCTTATTAGTTTAGCAGCTAATTTGTAGAAAAATTTTAATTGACATATAATATCACTTATGACAGGGGTCTTCAAACCGTGGCCCTGTCATAATATGCGGCCCGTGATCACATTTTAAATTCAGCATGTACATTTTCTAGTTTATTAAAATTATACAGTTAAACTATCACTATTGGAAATATGTGATATAAAAAATTTGTAATTAAAAAAAAATGTTTATCTATGTATGTTTTAATAATAATAATAATTTGTAAATGTAAATGTACCTACTTAATTTTAAAAATTGTAATAATAAAACTGAATTTTTATATAAAATACATGTTTTTACTACGAATGAGGCCCGCAAGATTAAAAAAAAAAAAATATTTGGCCTACCATAAAAAGGTTGAAGACTCCTGACTTAAGATATAGCCTATCAGGCAACCATCATAATAATTATCTTTAATCAAATCACATCATCTCTCAAACTAAGAGATGGTTCTATAAATAACWAGTTGTCTAGTTACACTTATCTTTAATATAATTTTKATTTTGATTTGCTTACTTGGTAATGTGTCACTTTCATGGTTTGATTCTTTATGATTAAAAGAGCGGTCATCAAGTGGTGAAATAGGATGTTTCTTTTGAACTTTGGGGCTATTTTTGAGAGATGGTGTTGGACTTTTATCTTTACTTCTATCGTGATTGATCGGCATGTCTGCAGCGTCTTTCAATTTTGACTTGAGAGTGTCAGAAAGTTTCAATGTATTATTATCTGGAAAAATAATATTTTAATAGCAAGTTCAAAATTTTATTTTGAATTTAAATTAATTCTGAACTTCTTTTATACCCTTATTTTTGTACAATTTTCTTTGCCATTCGTCTTGTGTTTGTGAAACTGGTGAACGGTTCATAACTGGAGATTTATTCGGTGTATCTGAGTTACTAACACTTTCAACTGATCCATTAATATGTAATGTTAACCCACTAATAGGTGAAGTGTTCACAACTTTGTGATCAGATTGACCAGATGTCTCTAAAGAGCAGGCTGACCCCTTGTGTGACAAATCTTCGAGCTGAAAGAATAAGAAATCATAGGTGTGTTAATAAACAACCAACAAGTTACAGAAAGACTAGTTAACTGTTATATTTACCGCAAAATCATCATCGTCACTGATAACACCTGGATCGGCATCATATCCAGCTTGTGAAGATTTTATTTTATTTGGATTTTCCACACTTAAATTAATACTGGAAGATGATATTTCTTGAATTTTTTTCTCTCTTTTAATTTTGCCCGCTAAAATTTAAAATACACTTATTGTTAATAACATTTGATAAAAACATATTGCAACAACAATAATTAAATTTAAATCAGTTATTACTTATAGTTTTGGCTAGTTTCTTAAAAGATTTTTTGTCAACACTACTAATACTCATCAAACTACCACCTAAAACATTCACAAAGTTACATAACATTTTAAAATGTTAATATTATATACTGAYAATTGTCTAATAAGCACTTACTAATATTAGAAGCTGTATTAGATAATTGCCCCACAGATAATCTGTGTTTTTCTTTTTTGCTAAGATCCCGTAAACTTCCAGATTTAACTGTGAATGCAATTTTGACTTGTAATTCACCACGTTCTTTGTTTTCTTGTCCATTCTTGCTTTTAAGAGGATACCATCTGAATTTGATACAAGATAGAAATTTAAGGTTAATTATTATTTAATTATTTTTAATTAGTTATTATTAACTAAAATAAGTTACATTGTACGAACAAAATGTTGTCTGAAAAGTTAACAGATAAAATAGATTTTTTAAGTAAAAGAAGAAATATTATCATTAATTTATACACTTTAATTCTAGGTAAAATTCCATGCACCAATTCTAGTCACTGTTGTATATTAACAATACATAAATTTATTGTATCATTCTAAATTTTGTATAGATTATAAATACAGTAAAACCTCCATTAAACAAACGATCTATTAACCAAATGTAAATTATACGTGTTGCAGCAATCATTTATGTAAATATGTATCTATAATAAATTAATGAATTTAATAACTTTATATTAATAATAATTACAACTATATTCTGTCCTGCATTTATGTAAATATGTATCTATAATAAATTAATGAATTTAATAACTTTATATTAATAATAATGCTACTAAAAAGCACACTAAATGTGTTTTTCTACATATCACTATGCGACACATAGCCATAGCAGAACAAGTTTCAATAGCARGGGGATGAAGAAGGGATTTGAAGAATCGACGTGTTCCGTCACTGAATAGAGCATAATATAAATATCATATAATATTATGCATATTATTTTATGATATTATATATATATATATATTTTATGTAAAATATATGTATGTATAGTATTAAAAATATCCCTAGTGTTTGAACTAAGAGCAGTACCAAGAAGTTTTAACAATCTGATCGAGGTTCTACTGTATTTTAAGACAAAATCTTTACTATGAACAGCTTAGTTGAATACAATTCCATTGATGCTCAAACATACATGCTTTTTGGACGTTCATAAACATCTATATCGGCCAAAGGAATTGTGGTCTGCCCCAAAAATTGGTCTAGTCCCAAAAAGTTTCGGTGTAGTACACTTAGTACTAATTCTGCGGTGTTTCCTTGTTTAGGRATTTGTCTGGAAAATTATTTTAAATAAGGTTTCATATTATATATATTACTATTAAATTGTTAAAATAGCTTACAATTCGCAAACTTCATGCCATTCTGTTAACTCAGAATCAATAGCTTTTTCTTTTGGTGATGTTTGGTACTTTTCTTTTCCCAAACCAATGGTGACAAATACATCATTTTTGGCTAAAATAAAATACCATTCAAGATTAGACATACCATTCAATTATGCATATAGTATAATATATATTTGTAAGAAATATGCCAATTTATAACCTAAGGTTCTTATTAAATAGGCATGAAGTAAATTAAAATAAAATAGGCATGTAAATATAATACCTAATTATTTTTTTATTATTAACATATTTTGATTAATTTGTACCGATTAATATCTCTAAATTATTTACACAAATATTAAAGCACCTATTTTTATCTACATAAATCAATTAATTAATATTTTTTCCCAATCAATTAATTGACACCTAATGCATTAAGTCGATGTTAAATAACAATTTAATTTATTTATATTAGACAATAAGACAGTATATTTTTTATATTATTAAATTAATAAGATACAAGATCATATTAAAACAAAATATTGACTGAAATTACTTATAGAAGAAACTTATTTTGAAAGCAAGTTAATTCTTAATATAGAGGTAGGTACATAAAATAAGTCAAAAAAATATAATACAATTAATATCAAGTAATAAAATAATATAAAATAGTAAAAATAAAATAAATTTACACTTTCAACTTGATTTTCAAGTATATTATAAAGAGATAGTACAATATTTGCCAGGAAGAATATATTTATATAACTGTCAGATATAAAATAGCTTTTTATTATTGGAAATTATGATTATTCACTTTGAAGTTAACTTTACAAAGAAGAAATGAGTTATCAACGATATTATTAACTAATAGAAAACTTTTAATTGATTTTATTTAACATAATAGAATTTTTGTTTATTTTAAGAGTATAATCAATCATAACTAGAGAAATGTGTTATGAAAAAAATTGGTTTTCTGTAAAATTAAAATTTATCCTATTAAGGAACAAGTAATTTATGTAATAAAGACTTTTTAATTGCATACATTACATGGATCATGTAAAACAGCTTTTTCTAGTTGGTGAACAAAGAATAAATAAATGAATAAATTCCTCAAATAGCTTTGATTTGGGAAAATAAAAATAAATTATGAATGTCTGAACAACAATTTAAAAAAAGGATTATTAGGTACCTATAGAAAAACCTGAAATTACAGAAATAGAATTTGAAAAAAATTTAATATTTAATTATATTATAATAAATTAAGATTTTAGTGTGAAGAGAGAATTAAACTTAGATAATAAAGGATCGGTGTTTTTCAATGTCGGTAATATCTGATCTKATAACTTTGTTCTTATTTCAAAATGTAAGATCATTTTAGTTTTTAATATTGTTATGATTGTTTAAGCTTATAGGGAACAATATTTTTAATTGTGCTTCTGAAACAATTTTAACTAACCATTTACAATTTAATTAAAGCGTGATCTAATTAGAATGATAGACCATTATCTTTGTAATGAAACTTAATAGCAACCACCAATTTTAAAATGACCTAATCATTAACCTTGCATGTATCCAAAAAGAAATAAATTGTAAGTGGTCTGATAATGTTTCTGAGAATATATCACAAATAGCTAATAAGGGAATCATATTATTATGACTCACTAAATGCTTAGGGTGAAGGGAAATGTAAGAAATAACTAATATGTAGCTTGGATAGGTTTATTATTTTAGCTAATCAATAAATCACTCGAATGTTTATACAAAAGCTAAGAGATGTAGAGAGATAGAGATAGAGTGTGTGTGAGTGGGTCTGTGTGTGTGTATAGTTATAAAAGAATTGTTCCGTGTAATGTTTTGTGCCACACAATGATACAATAAAGAATTTATGAAGTGAATCGAGAAAGCCATAAGCATTACTGACATAATCGAAAAAATACTGACCGTTTTTGTTCTTGAAGTTTAAACCCCTGGTCCTCTGAACTGTAAACGGAACACGGTGGCATTAAGATGATTATTATTATAGGTAGTCATTAGGTATTTTTTCGGTCTGGCAAATACACATACCTGTGACTTGAACGTGCGTAGGACTCCACATAGCGTCGGTGGATTGGTTCGTCCAGTAGCTAGGGACGAGGAGCGAGCGAAAAAATGATTAAAAAAGAAAATTTAAGCCCCGGAGACCGACAGAAGACGAACAATAGCCGTAGGTGAAATGCTACATTGAAAGACGAGAATAATTGTACGACTGCAAGTAGAGACGCCAGAGACGGWTTGCAATTGATAAGGAACGCTTACGACAGCGATAAGCCTTAGCGCCACGACGGATAAAAAAGTAGTTCGAGCATATTATAAAATGCGTATGGTAGGACTGCGAACAGCAGCTGGACACGGCATAGATATTAAAGAATGAATTGGCCATTTATGCTTATCATACGGGGACGAACATGAAAATATTTTGGAGTTTTAAAGGTCTTATAAGTTAAGACTCTTAACACACACACACATATAGGTATATCATGAATTCATGAACTAAGATCTCCTTAGTTCATGATCTTAGATAATAAAGTGTATTATCTAAGTTCATAATATATATATATATATATATACATATTGTATATATATATTGTACATTATTTATGATGAGACCTCTACCAGAATGAAAGGTAATGATAAAATTAGTCTTTCTCTCTTCCCCATTCCGACACACTGTCCTCTGTTTTATTAATATAGCCATTGCCATGGCCTATCCATCCTTTAATATCTATGGGACATGGTCGACAATTGAAGATAGGATTATCTTATCTTAAACCGTTATTACAAGAAATTACAACGAATTACGTTTTAATTTTGACTTTTGAATTTTGATATTATAATAGTCAATAGACAATAGGTAATATTTGGATTTGGATAATATCAAATATGACTACTTATTATTTTTTTATTTTTCTATATAAATTATATTTTCAAATATTTCTAACAAAGACAAARAATAATTTGTTGCTATGTTTCCTCGAATTTTAAAAGTCGAGTAAAGAATTGAAAAAGCTAATACCTAATGCTACAGTGCTGCACTTGGTAATTTTAAATTTTTTTCGTAAGATATATATGTATATTTTATTTTCATAGTTTCTATCTCTAAGACCGGAGTTGATCCAAATGTAAAAATGTATCTACTGAATACAATTTTACATCATTTTATTTTAGTTTCCATTTGAAAGAATTTGYAATAATAAATTACAGTAATCAATTCGTTTGGATTTATTCCAAAAAATATTCTTGTGGGATCAGGAATACTTATTTTTTGTTTTGAATTATCTTGATAGGTCAGGAGGCAGCATTCAGTTGAAACCCAAACCCAATGCAGTTCAATAATTTTTCAGTTTTCTCAATAAACCTAGACGTAGTTACATACTATTAAAAAAGAGCTATATTTAAATAAGTATTTTATACTTATTGTTTTCTGATCGCCAGTCTATACAAACTTTATTGTCTCTAATATAATAATGTAAAATTAAAAATACAACAAAAAATTAAATTCATTAACCACTGACGATAGTTTAAGTATTACAACACCAATTCCTACTWAATCAGGTATTTTGATGCAAATATGAAATAAGTCATTTGTATACGAATCAAGTTATGCCGATGATAAATATAAATAATGAACTTCCACAAAAAAAAATGCATTTATTTTATACAGTGTATAAAATGTAATAAGTGTTCACTAATAACCAGTGGCGTGTCCAGAACTTTTTTTATGGATGTGCCACAAAAATTAAGTTCAGAATGGTTTTACCCCTCCTCATACTAAAATTTCATTGAGCAYCGGACTTACACTAGTCTAGTACTTATATAAAAATGTGGGTGGTCACATGCCCACCAGGCCCACCCCCTAAACACGCTACTGCTAATAACATATTTTGTGTTTAAAATGTACAGCCATAAAAAACTTAAAATTGTATTTTGGACAAGATATTTTCATTATCAAAATATTTTTAACATAATTTCGAGTCCTCKACAACGTATCATTTTCATTGAATTATATCATAAATACAAATAAAATTATTGTGATCAATACTTAACACAAAATATAAAACAAAAATAATGTTTACCAATAACTAATAAGCATAAAAATTAAATAAAACACAATTTTTTATAAATGTCATGTATTGTGCACAGATGCACACAGCAAACAGAAAATCACTTTGATTCTTTATTGCATAGAATYCAAGTTACAATTACTATGCTTAAAACTTCACAAAAAAATTGATTTCTATATACTTTATTAATTACATACAAAAATTGGAACTTTTTAATGGAAATAACACGTTAAGAAAAAAAAGTATTAGGTATATGACTTACATTTTATTATTAAGAGGACGCCACACCCGCATGTGTYGTCTCCGTCATACAAATGCGTAGCATAGCAAATTTTACGCTCAGCAGATCACRTTTATCTCCGTTAGTTTAAAATTTAGAGTGAATTGACCTATTATAAAAATTAAAGGCAAGATTATTACCGAGGGCATCTCATAGGCTTTTTATTATATTTTTATTTTAAACCGAGTTATGAGTATTTTTAGATATAAAAAT